ACAGTGAAGAGGAACAAAGCTAACAGATCCCTGTTGGTTCCAGAAAGTTAGGGCAGCTACTAGAAACACCATTTTCAAAGCCCATCAGATGGCACTCCCTAAGTGTGATAAAATGCATAACAGATTTTGGGAATTCAGAGGAGAAACAAGATAGTGAATATGGGAAACGGGACAATTTACAGAAGTGTCCAGGGAGGGAAAGCAGGAGGCCCAGAGTAACTTTGCCTCAATTACACTAGGTATAAGTTGTTCAAAAAAAAAATTACTTTGGGAAGTTTTTTCAGACTAATGTCAAGCCCTGAAAGGCTGGTAAACTCAGGAAACAAGAAGTCCTGGAAAGGACTTTTATAACCAGAGAGTAATATAACAGAATGTAACATTCCTCTCTCGGCCAGTTTCATTGATTGTGGATGAGTGTGGATCAGACCAACCAACCTGGCATTTAATAGCAGCAGCCAAAATACCTGGGGTTGAAGCAGTGATGAAATCCAATTTTTTTTACTACTGGTTCTGTGGGCGTGGCTTGGTGGGCGTGGTGTGGTGTGGCTTGGTGGGCGTGGCTTGGTGGGCATGGCAGGGGAAGGATACTGCAAAATCTCCATTCCAACCCCATTCGAGGAGAAGGATACTGCAAAATCCCCATTCCCTCCCTACTCCTGGGGGAAGGATATTGCAAAATCTCCATTCCCACCCCACTCTGGGGCCACCCAGCGATGGTATTTGCCGGTTCTCTGAACTGCTCAAAATTTCCGCTGCTGGTTCTCCAGAACCTGTCAGAACCTGCTGGATTTCACCCCTGGGTTGAAGCCTGTACTGTAGATCTCTGGCTCCTGGTGTGAGAACTGAAAGCAAGAAAAAGCAATGAGTCAAATGTACTAAACCTATTTTCCATGGGTACATTCACTCTCAGGGCCTCTTGCCTGTCACCAAAACTCCATTCCCTTACAACCCTCTGCTCTTACTGGCCAGCACTTCCCTCCAGCCAAGGAATTCCTCAGATATCTAGCACAGGTCACGCTGAAGCAGGCGAAGGGCAGATCTTGACTTTGCACTTTATCCATCATCAATACTGGCCGCTTTCCATTTCCCTTGTGCAGAAAGAGATTATGTCACCCTCCTCCCACTCCCAGCTCATTGCAAATGCACCCTGCATCAACAGGAGCCTTTCTCTGAGGGAGATGGGCAGATAAGAAGTATGAGAAAGAGAGGTGGGGAGGGAGAAAAAGAAAACAGGAGAATGGCCATTTCAAGTCATGCAAAGCATACATGATTCAGTCAAACCACCAGCCTGGCCCTGTTGCTAGCCTACCATAACCTGGACGGAATTTTTGAAATTGGCTTAAGAAATAGCTGATAGCAACAAGAGGGACAAGAAGATTAGCCTGCAATGCAGAATTGGCCTGAATCAGCCCCTCAAGCTGCTGTCTATATTACATCTCTGTTCTTCTCATCCATTCCTGCTTTGCTTTCATCCGAGACAGGAAAGCCTTCACAAAATTGGGAAATCTGAAGCCCAGTCCTAGGTCTCAGCCTTTGAATAGCCCAGAAATACAGCCTACCCTCCACTCCAAGATCTGAATCTGGCAATGTCCCTTGAATTCTCTTGTGGAGACCAGCTCCTAGGAGATTGGGGCTGATATAATCCAGGAGGCAGACTATTCCAGGCTTCATTCTCTTTCCAACCAATAAGAAAAGGACCAGGCAGCTGGGAAACACACATTTCCAAATCAGCTTGTAGAATCCTTCAGGTCCCATCAGGGTGTGATATAAATTAGTCAGATTTAGATTTATTAATCACTGCAACACCAAATAGGCTCCGATATGCATAACTCTTCAATATGTTCCAGCTTGGATGTACGTTCATCCAAGGAGGTTTTTTTTATGTCAAGCTACCAAGCCTTGGTAAATAGGTCAAAGCACAAAGTTATGATTTCACTCCTAAGAATGTACTTAGCAATCATAGACTCATTTTTCTTTGGCAAAAGGAATGCCACACAAACCTGCCAATTTTTCTTTAATCAAGTTGTTGTTCTTGAAACAAAGGAGACAAATAGCATGCACGAGTTTTTTAAGACATAGAGTAATAAAAGAACAGTTCTCATGTCCTATTATGGAATGAAGAAATTGTAAACGTATAAAAAGTTAAATCAAAAGCATATTTGTATTTTGCATCTTGGAAAACTAATTTGCTTCCTGTTCTGTCCTTGGTATATGTGAGTGTGAGGAAGAAAGAATTATATTGACATTAGCATATCCTGGAAGATGGCTCTGTAACAATTACCGTGTTTTCAAAAATAAGACCCTGTCTTATATTTTTTTGAACCCTGAAAGGTTCAAATAAGGCTTGGCCTTATTTTCAGGGAGGCCTTATTATTTTGGGGCGCATGGAGGAAACCAGAGGAAATGGTGGGGACCGACTGTGCATGCGTTTAAATATTTTCGGGGAGAGCTTATTTTCGGAAGGGAGGTTATTTTAGCGCATGCACTCAAAATCCCAATTGGGCTTATTATCAGGGGATGTCTTATTTTCAGGAAAACAGGGTAGCAACAAATAATCCATGGAAAGGAGGGCAGGAGGGAGGGAGAGAGAGAGAGAAAGAGAAAAAGAAAGAAAGAAAAGGAAGGAAAGAAAGAAAGGAAGAGAAAAAGGAAGAGAGGTGGAGGGAGGGAGGGAGAGAGAGAGAGAGAGGGAAAAAAGAAAGAAAGTTCTGTGCTCTATTGGAAAATATAGAAAAGATCTGAATCATGTACCCATCTGCAAATGCTCTGAGATTCTGAAGGATTGAGAAGAACAGAGGTCTCAAAGAAACATCAAAGATACCCAGTTTTAAACTAATCAGCAGACACTGGGGACTCCGGACGGGTAAATGCAAACATAGAAAGCATGGGAAAATGACAGGCATGCTCTTTATTTGTTTTGTGTCCATAGAGAGGTTTGTTTATGTGATTTAAAAAAAAACCCACAGCCCTATAAATGTGATTTGAGTAACTCATCAGTCACCCTTTGAGTCTGCATTTTATAGTAGCTGTTTACCATGACTCCTTGGCAACCAAGTGCCAGGTTTACTCTCAGGGGTTTGTACAATACACAGGATGATTCATGAAATGGTTAATTGCTTCATTCAGAGCAGAAGCCTGGCTGTACTCCAGTACATATAAACAAAAGCCATCCCAATTGCTTTGCTGAGTGACACCGTGTGTGGTACAGGAAGTTGCATGGGGAATTGGTCAAACCATCTTGTGTTACTGTAATTAATTAGTCATCAAGTGCTTTCCTCCTCAGCTTAGCAACCCGGTAATATAGTTTAAGATCCATCCCCATGTACAGATACATCCAACTACAGGCTTGTCTTCTGGGAGAGGAGCAATAGATATTTATCTTCCCTGCAACAAGAGAAGGGTTTAACCCCTGCTCTCCACAGCATGGTTTTGCTCTCTTCTTCCTTCATCCCCCACCAATGGCTCCAATTTTAAAAACCTGCACAAATACTAATGCACATTTAATAAACAATTCAGCTTGGCTACACGCATCACCTCAGTGTCTTGAGAATGAATCATTGGCTGTCTTTTCTATGGAAAAATAAAACACTTAGGAGTACCCTTGCCAGGTGTCCACTATTTGAGCAGACAGTCCGCTTTTTTCACATTATGTTCACTATTTTTTTTCACAAAATAGTGGACATTTTTTTTATTCAAAAGCTTTATGATGAAATGGTACGTAATCTAAAGCTGTACAGTCTAAGAGAATAAGGATAGGGGAATCGCGTTTTGTCTTTTTTTCATAAGTTAGAATGAGACAAAGATCGAATATCCATTGAACTCGATTCTCCACTCAAATAGTGGCTCAAATGTACTTTTTCAAGAAAGAGCCAGCTCCGAGTTTACTGAAACTGTTCCAGTATTGTGCATCAATTCCGGTATCAAATGCAAACGTTGAACGAATTTTCAGCGTCATGGGAAATTTGTGGACTGACGAACGTAACCGACTGCTTGTACCATCAGTTCAAAGTGAACTTTGTATATTTTTTAATATTTCTCAACATTGTACTGAAATTAAAGAATTATTCCTTAAACACAAAGAATTGATCAAAGCTGCACAGTCAAATAAAAAATACACACGACAGCAAAGTAAAATGTAATTTAATATTTCACATATTATTATAATATATTTGATGTTTTGAATTTTAAGTAAAGTTTTGAAGTGATTATTTTAATACGTGTTAAAATGTTTGTAAGAAAATATATAATTTAATTGTAATTTTTTTTTATTTTTTTACTACTTAACCCCCCCTCCCCCCCATTTTTTGGAAGCAGACCTGGCAACCCTACTTAGGAGACTGAAACCAGGTCATGGGATGAGCATTGATTAAGGGATGTGTAGGGCACAAAGAAAGCTACACACACAGACACACACAAACAAATACACAGAGATAAAAGAGAAGACATCTTTCTGATATGGTATTGTTTAAAAAATTAAAGAATAGCATTCCAGAATATCTTCAAGCCAGAAACAGTTGGAGATAGAAGGGGAAAAGATAAAGGGCCAAAGACAATTTTCTACAATGGGCTCGTGTCTGTGGCTAACACAGTTTCCACTATCCCCAACCAGTGATCATGCTGGCTGGGAATTATGAGACTTAAAGCCTCGCAGATATGGATGGGGATGCTTCACTGGAAGCTCAGAATTGACTCTCTCAAATCCCGCCAATATATTTCCATTATGCTCCGTTCCATATAACAGAAAGTAATGAGAAGGTAAATCAGCATGACAGTCCGGCTATGAGGAGAATAAAATAAAATCCACTGAGCCAAAAAATGAACAGGTACTTCCAAAATGTATCACACCGAATCTCTAAAGCTGTTATTTTCTTTGAAGGTTACATCCCAATCTTGTTCGTTGTGACTTTTAAATTTCCATGAGGAAAAAGGCAATAATAGAAAATATCCAAGAAAGGATATTTACAGACTTTATATTTACAGGTCTTGTTTTATATTTACAGGTACGAAGATGGATCAAGAGCCCAATGGTTAGCATGGAAAAACATCAGACAAGCAGTCTTAAATATCCGGGCGCCACTGTGATGCACATACCTCAGGGGGAGCCTGACATTGAAGTCCCGTTTTGTCAGATGTGCTTCAATGATCACACGTTTCCAAAAGGGATCATCTCACAGGATTCTGAATCCTGTTCCTGGGAAGGACCCCGAAGCTGCAATGTAAGCAGGCCTCTTTCTTGCATATTGGTGGCTGTACTTAGATTTCTCACCCTAAGAAATGCTCGCTTATTTGTTTGTTTTAATTATTTGGTTTATACTTTATACCTGCCCCAGCTCCGGATTTCCGAGGATATTGACACACACCAATGGTCCTTATCAAATTTATTAAGTAACAAGAATAAACAGGACCGGCAAAGGTTGGCAACCAGCCCAGAAAACAAGATATGATAAACCAAAATACTCTGATAATAATACAAGTTGTTTCCAGCAAGAACGCACTAGCTGCGTGCGACCTAAATAGGCTAAGGGAGTGGCCAATTATCCTCAAGATCTATTTTCGAGTAGATCTCCTCCTCCTGAGAAGCCACTCCTGCTTTTTGGAAGCCCTGCATGCCTGAGCATTGAGGAGAGGCTCCTCCACTTCGCTCTCTCCACTGGAAGGAGCCCCTGGAGGTTCTGAAGGCCCTGGCTGAGTCTCTGCCTCTGGCATCACACCCTCTTCAGTCTCCTCGCTGTCCGATGCGAGTGCTGGCTGTGCAGGCTGCTGGCGCGACACCACACCAGCCTCCTCTTTATCGGGCTCAGCCACGATCCGTGCAGGCCACTGGCAGGCCACAACAACACCCTATCTTTCTATTCAGCCAGACACCTGTGGTAGCTTAGTACAGTACAACTAAGGGCTCCCAAATACATGCTAAAAACCAGTGTTAAAATAATTAGCAATTAAAGGCTGCCAAAAGAGACATGCCATTGCTTCTCTTTGAAAGGCAGTATGAATGAGGAAAAGGCCTAATGTACCTGGTGCGTTTCATAATTTAGGAACAAGGCAGGAAAGGGTCCTTGCTCAAAAATCCCCCAAAGAGTCTCTGAAACATATATTTCTTCAGAAAGGCTTGACTTCTACATTTTATAGCGAAAACGTGATCATAAAGGAACATAGTAAATTTACGGGAATGGAAATGGAGCTGCAGCTCACTGATGCAAGAATGAGGCAGATCTTTCAAAAGCAATTGAGCTTCTCACGAAATCCACAGTCCAGTCTTTATTGTCTATGTTGACTCTGCATTGAAAGACAATGCCAGGTGGAAGAACATGTTCTTTCGGCTTCCCCATATCTTACCATCTCTTAACCCGATCACTGTAGCACCTTTCTGTTTGTATTGTGTGAAAGGACTCCTTGCAGGTCATGTGAAAGATTCTGGCGGAGATTCTAGAGAAATGTTAAGAGGCAGGGGAGACAACAGTATTGTTTAATAAAAATGAAACAGTAAACACTGTGATCCGGTTTAAAGCATTGCCTGGGGTCTTAATGGGAACATGGAAATTTAAAGCAAATGAATTCCTTCCCCCCTTCTCCATATATATATTCATAATTTGCACTAATGTGGGTAGTTGTTTTGGCTAAATGTGTTTGTATTTAAGACAGCAGTTGTAGTCAATAAACCAGTGTAACTAACTGAACTTTATATTAAAACTAGGCCAACTGTAAGTTATTCATCCAAGCATGATTAACTAAACTATTATTTGGTGCAATGTATTGTCAGAAGAATAATTTACATCCAGATTTTGTGGCATATGAGATTCATTCTCCAAGCAATTTTAATCATATGTCATAGGGCCTAGTAGCATTATTCCATTCCAAGAAGTTGTAGACAATTTGCCTTCCAGCTTTGATGACTTCAAAGTTGATTGGGGAAATTCAACGGGGTATCAAGATTTATATTTTTGAAGATTTAATGTAACTCATGAAGCCCCAAGCTTCCAAAGATCAGTCCCAAGGGATTAATGGTGAGAGAGGGAAACAATTTTAATTATGTTTACAACTCCCCAAAGGAATATGGTTGGCCACTGTGAGGAACAAATTATTGAAATAAGTAGCCCTTGGTCTGATCCAGCAGCATTATTCTGATATTCAACTTCAGGATGAAAATGGACCTGTTCAGTTTGTTCTTGAGTTCATGCTGGTCTGTGCATTCATAAAATAGGGAGTATAGCCATTATAACATTATTAATGATGAAACTGGTATAGTGAATTTGCCAGTAAACAAATGATTATATATTCCTGGGGCCTCAAGGAAGAACTTTGCAACAGAAGTCCAGGTCTCCCTGAGCAAAATAAAAGAAAATCTCCAAAGCTAAGCTGACTGGCCTAGGACAATTTGAATGGTATGGAATAATACACATTTCCATTGAAAATTAAGAAGGAGCTTGTGTGCCTTAAATTCAGAACTTGAAATTATCTGATTGCACCACTGGCTGTGTCACAAAAAACTGAGGGTAATGTGTAAGCCTAATGTTGGCCTAGCTAGAATCCATTGGAAGTCCTGGGGTAAATTTTTGATCTTTCAGAGACGCCCAAGATAAGTCATTCAAACAGGGTAGGATGATAGTCATGGCTGTCAAATATCCCTTGAAAACTCCAACCTATTCAGAATGAATAGAGTCAACAGAAAGTGTGAGAATGTTTCACTGTATGTAAAGAAAAAATATCTTTGCACAGAATTTCAGGAACTGGAGCATGGTGGTATTTTTGAATGTGTTTGAGTAAAAATAAAAGGAGAGAGAAACTAACATGATGCCATTGTGGGAGCTTATTATACACTGTAGAAGAAATTTCTTCTGCATCAGAAGATAAGTCTTTCACGAAACAGTGATAATGGGAATCCAAATTAATTTGACATCTTTGGGAATATAATTCTGCCCAGGAGTCAGATATCTGACAAATGTTTGCCCTTTCTTGCTGATAACTTTGTCTATCAGAAAGTAAAAGAAAGAAAAGAGACTCTACTACCCTGGACTAAATCCTTACCAAACTGAAGGATTTTTTTCAAGAAAGGAAGGTGAATGGGTACCTTGGGGGGAAAGCAATCATTATCACTGAATTCATGATATCCAGAGGGAGGAATTGAAAAGAATCAGGCCAATATATTGGATTCCAGAAGAGTAAATTTTGATGAAATCCAAGGGAAGGTAGGTAAGATCTAATAATTCTAAAGGAGAAAAGTGTCTGGGAGTGATGGAAAATTCTGTAAAATAAGATATGGAAAGCACAATCACAATTTCTGAAAGAATGGAAAATTTGAGAAATTTCAAGAAGTCATCATGGCTAGAAGTAGAGCTTTCTAAAATACTCAGCAGAAATAGCGACATATACAGGAAATAGAAAGGAGGAACACATAAGCAAAGAAGAAATAAGATAGTCTCCAGAAACATAGGAACTGCAGCAGGGAAGTTAAAGCTCAAAATGAGTTGAGACTAGCAAGAGATACAAAACACCAAAAAAGAGTTATATGGGTACGTTAGAAACAAAAAGAGAACTAGAGAACATATAGGTCGGTTAAATGAAGGAAGTGGTGAATTGACAATGGGGAATGGTGAAAAGGCAGAACTTGCATTTTACATCTGTCTTCTCTTAGAAGAGTGATGGAAATCTAGCTGATCATTATCACTGTATACACTCCTGGAAGAAAGAGGAAGCTGCAACTTAGGACTGAAAAAGAAAGCCTATAAAACAGGGATGTCAAACTCGCGGCAGTCATGGCAGCGTCACGTGATATATCAGGACTTTCACCCCCCTTTGCTAAACCAGGCGTGGGCATGGCCAATGTGTGACGTATCTGTCCCATGGGCCGTGAGTTTGACAGCCCTGCTATAAAAGTATTTGAGAGCCAGTTTGGTGTACAATAAGGGTTAGAGACACCCAGCTAGTAACTGGGAAGCTATGAGTTCTAGTCGTTTTGCCTTAGGCAGAAAGTCAGCTGGATAACATCAACTCTCTTGCTCTCTCTCAGCCTGAGGAAGAAGACAAGGACAAACTACTTCTGAAAATGTTTCCAAGAAAATTACAGGGTCATGTCCAGGTAGTCTGCAGTAGCCAGGATTGACTCAAAGGCATACATATACAAATAAGCTTAGCTAATTTCAATAAATTCAAGTATCCAAGGCCAGAGTACATCCAAAGAATGATCATTAATGGTTCAGCGATAGGGCTCTGTCCCTTCTTGTCCAATTTTTGTACTTGAGCCAACAGCATAAAATAGCTGCTAAAAAAGCAAATGCTATTTCTGGCTGTATTAACAGGAACGTAGAATCCAGTTCACAAATTATAATAATACTACATTTATTTGTCCTGGTCAGATCTCACTTACAATACTGATTCCAGTTCTGGGCCCCCCAGTTTTAAAAATGGAATGACAAATTGGAGCAACTTCATAGGACGGCTGTCGAGATGGTGAGAGATCTGGAAATCAAACCTTCTGAGGAACAATCAAAGGATCTGGTTATTCAACAGAAGACAAAACATAAAAGCAAGTTTCAAACATTTGAAAAGTTGTCGCATGAGAGAGAGGCTGTAGTCCCAAAGGGCAAAACCAAAAACAATATATTCAAACTATTAGGAAGTGATTTTTGCTAGACATTAGCAAATCTTGACACTAGACATCTTGACTGTATGAAGTGTCAGTCACTGGAGCAGGCTGCCTCTTGACGTACAGTAATGAGACTTTGTTTCCTTATATAGGGGCATGATAGCTCAGTGGCTAAAAACATTGAGCTTTTCAGCCAGGGTTTGAGACCCAAGTGTTGTGTGACAGGGAGACCTCTCGTTACTTTCCTCAGCTCCTGCCCGTCAAGCAGTTCGACTGCATGCAAATGAGAGTTGATAAACAGGTACCACTTTGGTGGGAAGGTAACAGCATTACATGTGCTTCGATGTATAGTCATACTGGCCACATGACCATGGAAGTGTCTTTGGACAACGTTGGCTCCCTTGGCTAAGAAACAGAGATTAGCGCCATCCCTTAGAGTCGGACATGACTGGACAGAGAAAACTTTTACCTTTTACCTCATCAGAGGTTGATGAGATTTGTCAGAGGTTTCTCAGTGATCTTCTAGAATCTAGAGCAGGGGTGTCAAACTGGTGGCCCATGGGCTGGATGCATCACGCACAGGCCACGCCCACACCAGCTCCGCAAAGGGAAAAAACATCATGAAACGTCACA